CTTGTCAGTAAAAACTTAAACTGACAACTAACTTTTGTTAATAGGAGGTAGGCAGAACCTAGAATTATTTAATTCTGAAATGGTGTGATTTAGATTACACTTTCATCATCCATGCCAGAGACTGATTCAATTCAGTTTTCTACAATAGCTCTTCAAATGATTAGATAAACTGCTGTGAAGTTGCGGTCACACATTCCAGTTGGTGCGGAGGGGAAGCTAGCCTATTTCTTCCAGAGGAATTTGACTTGCAGTTGCAAGATCACACATCCTTTGTTTCCCATGTGCATAAACAAGGAATCGCACCTCTGGACTGAGGGTTCCCCATGGAGTGTGTGTTTATGCACATACTGCTCAGTGGGGGGGGGGAACGGCACCCAGTTGGGACGGAATGATCAGACCATCCCAACAGCATGAGAGCGTGCTTGAGTGATCAGACAGCGGAAAGTCCATCCATGGCCCATCGGAACCAGTTAGAGCTGGACTTTCCCCAGTGTCTTTTACCTCCACTTCTGTGGCAGAGCAGCACGGGTTGCCAATGACTTTGGGAACTTTCCCAGATGTTGCTGTCTGATCATGCCCCATGTCTGATCATGCATTCACAGGCATGTTGGATCTTAAGGTGCATATGATCGCAGCCTGAATCTTCTTTTTTTATGATTATGGGTAAACATGCAAAGCTGTCATGAAAAGTTAGTGTGGTTTGATGAGGGTGCTCACTGTAGGGATATACCTTGCATACCAAGGTGAAATTTGTTTGCCTTTCATTCAATTAATATTACATTGTTAGTTGTATATGTAACAGCACTCACCTGGGAATTTACTGTCTGGACAGATTTCTATAGTAATCTCTATTAATTGAATCATTTGAAATTAATCTTTATTTTCATTGACTTGAGTTATATATCATACGTGTACCCCACATTTACCTCTGGCTACTCAAAGTAGTTTTTTTAATTTTGTGGGTTTTAAAGACAAGAGACATTCAGAGGTGATTTGCCATTGCCTGCCTCAGCGTCACAACCTTGGTAATCCTTGGAGATCTCCCATCCAAAAACTACCCAGGGACAATCCTGCTTAGTTTCAGAGATCTGACATGATCAAGCTAGCCTGGGCTATCCAGGTTAGGGCTTATACACAGGATCAATTCATTCTGTCCTTGGAGTAAATTTTATGAGATGGGTTGGAGTGAGAGTTAGTAAATTTGTAAGTGCAGATTCAAACTTCTTTCTAATCCAAATTGATTGTGCCTTCTACTATATCATACTGGTCAAAATTGTTTAAGTTTAAACCTTAAGGTCTCATTCTTTACTTTTTACTATTGGCTTTATACATTAGTTTGTATTATGGATGTATAATTTAATACACAATTTATACATTTTATATGCACAGTGCACATCATTTCTACATAACGATGTGAAAAGAACATTCATGAAAAAATGGTGTGAGGAAACAGAAAATGGGACAAAGATAAATAATTAGGGGATCAGCAGAAGGGAGAACTCAAACCAGATTTTCAGGTTAAAAAAAAAGGGCTTACAAATTTGAAATCAGCCGTACCCGACAACACCAACAATCCTAACAGAAGCATGTGGCAGAAGGAGAAAGCTGTGTGGCAAAAAGGCCAGTTTGCATGGGAAGCTGGTGCATGAATAAACCCACTTTATAGTCTCAGTCCATCTTCACATTGTGGCCGTTATAGAATCTCTTAATTTGCATGTGTGAAATACTGCTCCAGGGTTCATCATCACAGAGTTTTCACACTTTCCTTGTAAATACTGCTAACAGAAGTTTCCACTTAGTAAGGCCAGTTTTGCAAGTTCAGCTCTGAATTTGCTGTGCTCGATGCAGTATTTACTTATCCCTAGTTTCATATTATGTAACTAAGATCCTACTCTAGACCAAAACAAGCAATGCTTTGCCTGGACCCCATAGTTTGGAAATCAGAAAATACCCTTAGGGATGAAAAACCATTAAGGTCAAGTCTATTTCAAATACCTGTAAGAGCTAAAATGAATTGGTGTAAACACTAACCTCTTGTAGCCTCAGTCCTGAGCTTGAATTTTGAATGGCAGTTCAACAGTCCTTACGAGCACTTCATATTTGAGTGTAATTGCTCTTAAATTAAATTATTACAAGTAAAGTGGAAAATGTTACCTAAACTACAACTGCACATAAAATACAAACTATATATAAAGTGGCAAGTTAGTAATTAAACCACAAGAATAAATGGAAATTTTACCATGATTTTCAAGAGGCAGATAATCTAAGTATCTTATTTTATAACATATACTGATTGATGGCCAGACTAGATACCTTCTTTTTGTTCAGGCTTCTAAACAATTTATTCAAAGCTATTTCAAGTCAAGTCAAGTCAGCCTTTATTGGCATAAAATATCAGTACCATTTATACATTTTAAAACCAGTTGAAAGCACACATATAAAAGTCTAAAAGAACCTTAGACGCAGCTTTAAAGCCAAGGAGAGAAACTTAGCCACCTTCTCTGTAATGTCCGGGCTGAGATCACTTAAAAGTCTATGCACCTTAAGTGCATACTGGTTAAAAGAGAATATAAATGTGTGATCCTTAGGTCCGTGTACAGGATTACAGTTAGCTGTACATTTTCTGTATGACATTTACCATCTAAGTGCCATCATTAACAGTAGTCCTAAACTGAGGATATAGCTACTAAGGATAAGAGATGAGTAAAAATATAGTATGAAGTATAAAATATTATATAATAATGAATCTAATGCATAAATTAAGTATATCTTACTGAATTTTAAAAGTAAAGTCCTTTTATGCTCTTAAATTAAATTATTACAAGTAAAGTGGAAAATGTTACCTAAACTACAACTGCACATAAACTACAAACTATATATAAAGTGGCAAGTTAGTAATTAAACCACAAGAATAAATGGAAATGTTACCATGATTTTCAAGAAGCAGATAATCTAAGTATCTTATTTTATAAAACTGCATATCCTGATTGATGGCCAGACTAGATACCTTGGATATATGCTGACCAGTTTGAGAGGTTAAGTTCGGAAAGCATGTGATTTCAAAGCTATTTAACACTTTTAATTTGGGGAGGACTGCTTTTGGTTGATGGGGAACCAACCGGGATACAATCTTTGTTACACCGGGTAGAGGTTTGGCTAGTACAAATAAATGTGTGGAATTTGGTTCCTAAATACCTGATGCTTCTTGACCTTTATTGCCTCCTTAGGGATGGCAGTTCCCCACTAGTGAGATTGTTTGAGTGTTCCATAGCAACGTGTGCCAAAATTAGGAATAAGTCAGGGACATTCTCAGACTATGAGTGAGATAAGCAAACAATATAGACATATCATTAGAATGCTGAGGGCCAAACTAAACATTACATGCTACACAAGTTCAGCATGGGGACTCACAGATGTATTGCAGGTGCAAGTTCTTGGTGGTAATTCTGTTTAGAAGCACTGTGGCAGCCTGAGTCACCTCATGACCAGAGCACAAGGTAAGGAGGGGCCCCTGCCTTCACCTGAGCCATTTCCCCAACTCTGAATAGTATCCAAATAAGGACCCCCGGTGCTATTTGGAGTTGGAAAACAATAGTGAGGGGGGAGAGCAAGAGCCCCTCAACCCCCATCACTACAGTACTGATATGAATCAGGCACCTGAGGAGCATGTGGATCTCAATCAGCCCCACCTTCAATAACCTCTGCCCCATATTCATTTGCATGTCAGACTCTCTGACCAGGATCGGGCTCAGGTGAATCTGGTTGCAAGGTCCAATTGTTGCCTGTGACCAGGTGTTCCAAGAAGTGGTTAAAAATGAAGGCTTTTCTTACCTTATTTGTCAAACGTTAGACCTGGAGCTGGGTATGCTACTGGGTGCTAATGTTTTTCCATTGGGGTGAAACCCTGAACCTCTGCTAGAGGGATTGAGATTTGTGATCGGCCTTGCTGGACTGCTGAAAGCAGACTGTTTCTTTATGCTGCAAGAAATGCTGTGGACACTGGTATGATGATATCCAAAGTAACTAGCTAGAGATATTAAAAATCTTTTTTGTTTTATGCACAGTGTGCTGGTATTGCCTTGCACCTCAAAAATAAAATGTTTAGTTACATACCGGTGTGGTGTGTTTCAGTCTGGGGGTTTGCAGAAGGCTTTTTCTAGCCTTTGTGGCCCTACCAATAGTAATTGTGTGGAACTCCCGACTCTGGAGAGAGTTTGGGTTTGTGCTCAAAGACCTAAAGGATGCAAGGTTGACCTGTCCTCGACGAAGCAGGTCTGGTGGCAGCCTATCGTGGATAAGGAGCAAGAAGAACTTGCCTCCTGATTTTGTTAACCTTAATCAGAGTGCCCTGCCTGTCAGTCCTCCAGCCCAACCTGCTGCTGGGTTGGCAATAGAGTGGCTGAGGCCTGGGGTGGTACTGCCTGGCCGTGGCACTACAGTATGTAATTGCCAGTGAGAACTTGCCACTACAGTGATAACTTCGTGTAAATTATAATGTCTAGTTTGGCCCTGAGGAGCTCGTTTGAGGTCAGGGAAGGCCAGGTGAACATCAGTGCAGTTTAATGACTGGGCCATGAGATACAGCCAAAGACAGCTATCAGCTCCACTGTCTCTGGATCCTGATGGTGTGGACTGAGGATTCAAGGATTTGCTATCTTACAGTGCTGCACGCCAAACAGAAAGGAGAAAAGAAAGAAAATGAGAAATAGCTCTTTGAGAACAAACAGGACCATGGATAAACCAAAACCCCAGTGAAGAAAATCTGTATCTGTAAAATAAATTTACCTGTAAATCTGGTGTGGTATTGTCCTGTATCTTGAAACCTGAAGGGAAAAAAAGACAGAAGTTAATAGTCATAGTACTGTTACCCCGTTTACAAATATAGTGTGTAACATAAATATTCAAATTGGGATTTTTTAAAAGAAAGCTAAAATCTTACAAAAGTATTGGTAACTGTTACATTGGAACTAGTGTTTTAATTACAATTATTATTGTTTCAGAGCCACCTGTCCCTATTGCGCCACCTCAGCTGTCCTCTGTTGGTGCAACCTACTTATGGATACAGTTGAATGCAAATTCTATCAATGGAGATGGACCCATTATAGAAAGAGAAGTAGAATATCGCACTTCAAGTGGAAGCTGGTATGACATACAACCTGTTGACTCCACAAGCTATAAAATTGGACATCTGGATCCTGACACCGAATATGAAATTAGTGTGCTGCTCACTAGACCAGGTGAAGGAGGCACTGGATCTCCTGGTCCAGCTCTTAAAACAAGAACAAAATGTGCTGGTGAGTAATCTTGTTTAAAACAGATAACTTTACTACTCATTCCTGGGGTAACACTACATAAAGGTAAAGGTTTCCCTTGCTTGAAAGCTAGTCGAATCCAACTCTAGGGGGCGGTGCTTATCTCCGTTTCCAAGCTGAAGAGCCAGCGCTGTCCAAAGACATTTCTGTGGTTATGTGGCCGGCATGACTAAATGCTGAGGCACATGGAACCTTCCCACCAAAGTGGTACCTATTTATCTACTTGCAATTTCTTGCTTTCGAACTGCTAGGTTGGCAGGAGCTGGTGCCACAGACAGGAGCTCACTCCATCATGCAGCACTCAGGTCTCAAACTGCAGAGCTACCGATCTTCCAGTCTGCAGCTCAGCGTCTTAACCTCTGAGCCACCGTGGCCCCTAGAACACTACATAGTATACCATATATGTATGGTGTGTGTGTGTACCTGGAAATCATGGTTGACTTCTGGTGACCCCTAGTGGGGCTTGGACATTTCAGAGAGGTGGCTTACTATTGCCTGCCTCTGCGTCCCGAGCCCTGGTATTTCTTGGAGGTCTCCCATCCAAGTGCTTGCCAGGGTCAGCCCTGCTGAGGTTCCGAGATCTGACGAGATTGGGCTTTCCTGGACTATCCAAGTCAGGGCAGTATATTTTTAAAACATAGGATGGTTTTTGGTTTAAAGCATTAGAATTGGTAATCAGTAACCTTGAGACCTGACTGCCGCATGCATGGTCATGCTACAAATAAGCATTTTTAAGACATTTTAAGACACTGATTTCAATTAGAATTAAGCCTAACTCCGCTGCTGAAATCAATTAGAAGTTAAAAGTCTTAACTTTGCTAGGACATGCTGATTGTAAGATTCTTCATCTGTATTGTCAATTGTTCAAATCTTTTATTTGTTTGCTCAAATATAGTATGACTTTAAAAATACATATTTGTTGTATATACAGTATACTCTTCAAATTTCTTGGGATCATTATACTGTTGTAATTTGTTCTTTGTTGTAGTTTGTATGTCTAGTCTTCTGGTACCCACGTCATGGCTCGTGTAAAGCCACATCCACCATCCACAAAAGAGAACAGATGGCTATTGTATGCCCTGTGTGCTGCTTGACGCCTAAGTGCTGTCAAGTCACAGCCGACTTACGGCGACCCCGTGAGGCCGGCTCTGCTTAGCTTCCAAGTTCTGACAAAATCAAGTTATCCCGAGCTATTCAGGTCAGGCTGCTTTAGATCACTTTTAGGTCACCATTACACAAAAACAGAGCTACATATAGCAGGAACGGACAGACTAGTGGCTAACTGTTCTATTCCCACTTTACCTTATCTTGCTGAGGAATTTGATGGGCTGCAATATGACTGACCCAACAATCTGAACTATGTATCCAACAAATCTCAAATAGAGTTCTCCTTGCAGGAAATGGTTTTCCTACTGCAGTAGTCTGCAGTCCCCAACAAGCAGGTGCTGATGAGGTCAGAGGATCCTCAGAAACAGCCAAGGATTACTGCAGAAGACTTGAAGAGGGAACTGGTGGAAATTTCCCCTTCCTTTCATTAGCAGAAGTGGATCCGAGCCAATTATAGGTTAATACAATTCAAACCACGTTTTGCAGTCATGTGCATGAGTGCACAGTCAAGTTATTTCAGAGACTTTCTCTTTCCTTTAGCCTCCTGACTGAAAGCTAGAAACAAAAACCACCCAGTACTCTTGACACTTTCTGTGTATACATTGCTGCTGTGCAATGCCGGGGCCATTAATAACAAGATCGCGACACTGCAAAATTATATTGCAGCACGTGATGTGGACCTGACATGCGTGACTGAGACCGGGACAAGGGTGGGCAAAATGGTCACCTTAAAAGAGCTGACCCCCACCAGGTTTCTCAGTCCTCCATCGGTCCTGAACTGAGGGATGGGTGGCGGCGGCTATACTCATCCAAGAGGATATTTCCTTCAGGGCACTCTCTGTTCCAAAGATCACTGGTATTGACTGCGTATGCCTGGTGTGGGACACTGAGAAGAGTTTGGATGTCTATCTGATGTACTGACCACCTAGCGCCCTAATGGATAGCCTACTGAGCCTGCTGGAGGCGGTAGCGGGCTGGGCCTTGGAGTTTCTGAGACTGATTGTACTGGGGGACTTCAGTGTCCATTCTGACACTGCTGCCTCTCTGCAGACTTCAGACCTCGTGTTCTCCATGGCAGCACTAGGACTTTCCCAGATTGTATTAGGTCCCACACGTCAAGCAGGCCACACACTGGATTTGATCTTTGGCATGGAGATGGACTTCCCACTACTATTTATTTTTTTAAATTTATTATTAGATTTATAGCCTGCCCTTCCCGCAAGCGGGCTCAGGGACTTCCCACTTTTTCAAATCATGTCCTTGCTGTCTCCTGATTGGCTCTTCTGGAGACTTCTGGAGACTTCCTGCTCCTGTAGAGCTTCCTGTTGCTCTTTGTTCCTTTTACAGCAGTTAGACTAGTTAGTTTAAGGTCCTCTCCTATGCTCTATAACAGTTCATTCTTCTTTAATAAACCTACTTATTTTTCTCTAAACAGTCAGTGCTTCACTTCCTTTGCATATTTAAACTCTGCCAACAGAAAACCCTACGAGGTCACCATAAGTGGATTGCAAGTTGCTAAAACTAAACATAAACCGGTACAGCTGCTTAGCATTGAAATGATGCAGTTCTCAAATAATGCACTGTAGAATTAAGAGAAAGGGGAGTACTTGAAGAGAAGAATCACTGCACCTTTTAAATTGCAGCGATAATTGTATGCTATAAGCTTGTTCCCTTAAGAAAAAGCAGACCACTCTGAGTCTCAAAGCAACATACTGGATTTTTAGTGATTTTAGTTCTCTGAAATGCTTGAAGTATGTTTTTGCCCAGCACAATGAGATTCCATTCTGTTGGAACAGCCCAGCACTGATAAATAAATGTATCTATAATTAGAATGCAAAGAAAATAAAGGCTATTCTCCAAAGGCAGCTGCAAAATTCTAACTGTTTTCACACACATTATGAAAGTACTTTACATTCTTTGGTATAAAAGATTATAAACTAGAGGATTGTGCATTTAGGGTTGTTGTTTTTCTACATTTTAATATAGGCTACTTGAACAATATTGTATCTCAGTCTTCCACAAAACTTTCATAACTTTCATGTCATGGCATAGTCCTTATTGACAGTGAAATATTCTTAGTTTCTCCAGGACTTACTTACTTATTAATTTATTTATTTATAGCATAGCATTTCTCTGCCACCTTTCCACCCAAATACAGTCCCAAGGTGGTAAACATTAAAACATTTCAAATTAAAACAGCATTTAACATAAAGTACATATAAAGTAATGCAATAAAAACATATAAACACACAGACACATTGCACCAAAACAAGGGAGGAGGGCCCATGAAAGTTATTGTGGGTATGCCGAACAAAACAAAAAAGTATTTACCTGCTGATGGAAGACAAGGATAGAGAGAAGCAGACAAATCTCCCTGGGGAGGGAGTTCATGAGTTTCAATGGCAAAAGAGAGAATGCCCTTCCTTGGGTTATCACCCATCTGGCCGCAGGTGGCAGGGGCACCTGAAGCCAGACCTCTAAAGATGATGAGTGGATGGATAAATTCATATGTGAGAAGATTAAGGGTATGCTTGCCCCAAGCCATAGAGGGCTTTAATGTTGAATCCCAGCATCTTCAATTGAACCTGGAAGCAAATCGGGAGCTAGTGTAGATGGAGCAAGACTGGAGTGATCTAGTCCCTACCCACTCCAGTCAAAACTCTGGCTGCACCATTTTGTACCAGCTCCAGCTTCTGGACAATCTTCAAGGGCAGCCCCCATGTAGAGTGCATTGCAGTAATCTGATCTAGATATATTTATTTGTATTTATTTATTATTTACATTTATATCTTGCCCATCCCGTGAGCGGGCTCAGGGCGGGTAACATCATTGAAATAAATACAATTTCAGTTTAAAACATTAAATATTAAAACACAATAAAACGTTATAACAAAACAATGGGTACAGCTTGGAAGAGCATTTGTCTATAAAATTCTGCCCTGATGGTACAATGAGTTAAAGGCCAGTTGTCGATGGTCAGTAAGCAGGTGACAAATGGGTGTCAGCAACTTCAGGGAGGCCATAGATGGGCTCCCACCTCAACCGAATGTCTGGTAGAACATCTCCATCTTGCAGGCCCTGTGGAATTTAAGAAGATCCTGCAGGGCCCTGATCTCAATAGGGAGCATGTTCCACCAGGCTTGGGCCAGGATAGAGAAAGCCCTGGCCCTGGTTGAGGCAAGACGGGCATCCTTTGGGCCAGGGACAACCAGGAGGTGTTGATCTTTCGAGCGTAACACTCTTCGAGGCGTATATGGGAAGATATGTTGGCTCCAGGCCATATAAGGCTTTGAAGGCCAAAACCAGCACCTTGAAGCGAATCCAGTACTCAACTGGCAACCAATGCAGTTGGCAGAGCACATGCCTAATGTGAGCCCGCACAGGTGTTGCCGTCAGGGCATGCTCCATTGTAGCAAGATCTTTCCTGCCCTGGAAGGACCATAGCTGGCTCACCAGACAAAGCTGGTGAAAGGTACCTCTGTCCACCACTGCCACTTGTTTATGCAAGAGGAAGCCTAGGTCCAGCAGCACCTCTCAAGCTACAAACCTGCTTGGGGGGGTGATTTCATCCAATTAGCATACTCATCATTATAGTTTAGGTAGTCTGGATTGTGACTGCAAGGGTACCCCTGTATGGGAACATAGTTTCTACTTTATTAAAAGAAAAACATCAGTGAGACTGACTTATCTAACTCCTCCTTTTTTGCATTTGGTGAGAAGGGGATATTGAACCACTAGATACTGGAAGAGTAGTAGAAAGATAGCACTGAAATGAAAATGTATTTTTT